GGAAATCTAAGAAGATATTCCCTTTCCATTAGACTAATGATTACTTGGAGCACACACTAATTCTCACAATAATAGGAATTCTCAGGATTTCTTCTAATCAAAGTAGGATTAGGAGTTACGTTCCTTGAGGGCCTAGTAGGTCTCTACAATGGTGGCCCTTGTCTACTGTTTTGGTGCCTATTAGATTGATTATTTTGATGGTACCTTTAGACGATCCGGTCCAAATCGTATAGGTCATTATAACCATGTTGATCTAACAGCTTAGACCCCGAGGTCCGAGTCTTGATTCCTCCATTCTTTAATTGGAGATCCGGTCTTCATTGCTTCATTTCCCTTGTACGGCGATACGAAAATGAGGGTCCTACAACATATATATGTACTTTTATGTTTAGTACACTACACGTTATTCTTAAATATTTTTGTTAATATATGTAAAATTCACGAATTTTATACGTATTTTTAACATAATCTCCCTCAATATTACCTAGAAGCTCATTTAATAAGCCCAGTTTGAACAGATTAGTTAATTTTTTATGTTTTGATTTCAAAAAGTAATTAAACAAATCACAAATTGCTTATATTCATAAAAATAAAAACTGCAATTAAAAAGTGAAAATTTAGATCCCAACTATCGAGTCTATCTAATTGCATAGACTTTTATTTGTTTTTTATTTTTTATTTTTAGAGAGGAAATATGGGGATTTCAAACTTTACTGCGTAGAAATACTGATGGATAAGTTAGAAAAATCAACTCTAACCAACCATGTTCCCTCATGCACTAAAATAGAAAACCTCAACGATCCCTCTCTTCGTATGAGTCAGTCATAATAATTTGGTTAGAATTTATTTTTGACGAATAATATTTTTGAAATATGAGAGGTTGGAAAAGAACATATGAGCATTAGTTAATAACAGGTGAAGTATGTTTTTCTCTCCCAGTGTGAGAGTCTCTCTCCTTCTCTGTGAGAGATTTTCTAGCCTATATGCTGAGCCATCTTCTGATTTCATCTCTTCTGCCCTCAGTCCTTGCTAAGGCCTGGGTCGATGTGAACACCCGAACTGGGACAAAATGCACTTCCTGATCCACATGAGGTGGTGGTGTGAACATCTGCACCAAAGCTCTACGAACATCCCGAGATTATCGCATCAAAATGCATTCAAGGTAAGTAGCTATTGATCTGAAATCTGATGGGTTTGAGGGAAGCCAAAGAGGTGGAGGATGGGAAAGATGGGGAATAGAAAATGAAATTGATGGCATAGACTTTGAAAAGTTAAAGCACAGACCGGAGACAATCAACGAAAAAATTGCAGGGAAAAATAAATCTGAGAACGTACCAAATATTGTTTGTGTTTTTTTGTAGCACACGAACCAAATTCGCACTCCATTCTCAAATAATCATTTAGGAAAAACCATATATGTATCAAGAAAATGTACCAGCCATACTGGAGGATCGTCAATCAATGAAAGAAAGTCACAATTCCTTTTCTTCACAACCTGATGAGTTGCTTGGTTGCTATCTAATTGCTGCCAGGCAGAATTAAAACTTCGAAACCAATCTCTTCCAAAATACAGCTTGCTGCAGAAAAACATTCTCCATATGCATTATTCATATTAATTGCACTCTTTAAATCAAGCTCCAATAACACTGATGTGAAGCCAAGCAAACACAAGATCCTCTCTTATTGTCAAACGGGAACAAGATAAATTTGTAAAAACAAATGAAAAATTCCATTCGAGTTTCAAACATGGGAGACCATAAATTTCAAACGTGAAGATTAATTTCCAAACATTATCAAGCAGAAAATATTCCCCTAAAAAAGAGGCCACATTAAAAAAAGGGTAAATTCAGTTTACTATTCTCAAGTTTCGTGATTTTCAACATTTATTACATGAAGTTTTTTTTCGTCCCAGAGTCATACCTAAAGTGTTAATTTTGAGATAGTCTCATACATCCGTTAGTCTGACTGTTAAGTCTTCCGTTAACTAATAATGTGGTGCCCATGTGAACAATGACTGGGCACCACGTGTCATTAAGGGGTCCACGTGGAAATTAAAAATTCAAAAAAAAAATTCTCACCTAAATTTAAAATATTAAAATAATTAATTAAATAAAAGTATTAAAAAAAAATAAAACCCATAACCCCTTCAACCCAACACCTCTCCATCCTCTCTACCCCTTCCCACCCCTCCACCCTTCCATCCCCTCCACCCCTCACCCACCGACACCCTTCCCCTTCCCTGATACCCACCCCTACCACCAAGCCTTTTCTCATTCCCCAAAAATCCAACCTATTCCCTTCCGCCATTCCTCACAGCCCCAAAAATCCAACCCGACACCCCTCCATCTCTGTACCTCCTAGATCGCCATGGCCATGGTGTCGTGGTTCTCTCGCCTCCGCCATCCGAACCTCCATGTTCACCAATCTAGGGAGAACCCAAAATATAACGAACTTCGAGAGCCCGAAAACCCCATTTCTTTGGTTGAGCTCACTGATTCTGGTCGCACTCGTAGTCTCAGCCAAATCACTTGCCCTTCGCCCCCAATCGGACCCATCACTCTAGGAAGCCCCCAGTGCAAAGGGAGGGAGGGAATTTTGGGGTCTTTGGGGAAGGGAAGGAGCTGGGTTTTTGGGGAAGGAGAAAAGGCTTGGTGGTAGGGGTGGGTTGGAAGGGGAAGGGTGGTGTCAGGTTGAAGGGGTTCTTTTTTTTTTTTTTTTTTTTTTTAATACCTTTATTTAATTAATTATTTAAATATTTTATATTTGGGTGAGATTTTTTTTTTAAATTTTTAATTTCCATGTGGACCCCTCAATGACATGTGACGCCCAGTCATTGTCCACATGGGTGCCACATCATCAGTTAATGGAAGATTTAATAGCCAGACTAATAAATGTATGAGATTGTCCCAAAATTAACACTTTAGGTATGACTTTGGGACGAAAAAAACTTCATGTAGTAAACGTTAAAAACCACGAAACTTGAGGGTAGTAAACTGAGATTTACCCAAAAAAAAAACTCTTAAAAGGACATATTTGGAAACCGATAATTAGAATTTTAGCTTAAAAAATATGTAATTTAAATAAACAACAAATGCTGATGTGGTTGTTCGTTTAAGCGTCTTAATCAAATCTTAAAAAGAAACAAATGTTTGATCTAAAAATTATTAAAAAGTTGCAGGGGATTCTAATTTTGCCAAAGGAAAAGGAAGGTGCATAATAAATAACAAAAATTTAGACTTCATTAACGATCATGTACAAAACAAAAGGGTGGAATAAAAAAAATCCAACGACAACTGCACCACCAGCGATAACGACTGACCACCGGCGCGTGGCGGCATGTGAGCGTTTTTTTCAAGCACTTTTAACACCTGACATGAGCAAACAAAGGAAACTTAGAGCCTTTTCCTTAGTGATTATGAGTTTTGAGTAGTAAAATGATCAAATAGTGGTTTCTAATATAGGAGACTAATCTCAAGGATTTCAAAGGTCAGGCAGGGCAAGGCAGTTACGAATTATATCAATGAGTTGGCTTTTGTTTCCAACCTATATATGATATATGATTTCCGAAAGTGTTTATATGAAATATTGTGTTATCATGCCATGCATTCATTTGTGTTAGTACTTATTCTGTAGTCAGAATGAGCTTCACGTGTATGTTCACACTCATGCACTTACACTCAGAATGGATCCATTTAGTGCAAGCCTGTACTAGTTTGCATTAGACGGGTGTAATGCGCTTAGCGTGAGCTTGAAGTGCTTGTGGTACTTAAGCGTAAATTTATACACATAGCTTGTTCATGGTAGAATATATCTCTGCATGTAATCGTACTAAATTGGAATGTTTTTAGTTGAATAACGATGAGCTTCTTTATGGGAAGTTACTTATCACATTGACATTGATATGCTATTGTGCCTTAGAAAAGAAGACAAAGGATAAGCACAAAAGTAAACATCACAAAGGCGATCGTCTCTCGATAAGCTTTTTGATCTCCAATCCTGAATAAATATTTGGTGTTTCAAGTGCTCTCATTAGTGAACTATACATACATAATATGGAGGCCTTTAAAGGAATGGATTTTCATTTTTTTTTTTTAAATGAGGATTTGTTGTAGAGTTCACACCACATCGAACTTCCAACGATCTGAATCGTCTATTTTTCAAGTTGCACTTCTTAAATCATTCTTACAAAATATTAGCCAAATCTAATAATTGAGACTCAAAGAAATTGACGAACACTTATTTCTATAAGAAACAATAAAATTTCTTTGTGATAATTAAATAGGCAAATAGTTTCGGATTGAATCGAATTTTTGTAAGGATGATCTATGAATAGAGACTAATGTACTCAATCTTTGTGGCTTCCGATGATGCAGGGGAAAATCTTCATGAACTTGTACCTTCAAGTTTGAACAAATAATTTTAAATTCACTTGGAACTTAAGTTTGCAACTTATTTTTTGCTTTTTGATTTGTAACTTTAACTTATTTTATTTTGATTGCATGTCTTCTTTCCTTTTTTTTTATTTTTTATTTTTTTTTTTTTTAAATTTAAGTGGTTTGCTAGTATATTACTAATGATACATTGATAAAATGATGAACATGATTTGCTACTAGTTTGTTAGTATAAAATTATAACTTGTGTAAAGAACTGTGGCGATAAATAGAATTTGCATGTATTGGGCTAATTAAATTGGTATGGATTGGGCTCACCAAATTGGGCTCAAAATTAGTTACTCATCCATCGGCTCCAAATTTCAGCCCAAAATCCATATAAAATAAAAAAGCCGAACAAATTGGGCTTGAAGGCTCAATTCCGATCCCGGACCAAAAGATCGAAATAATTTTGGTATTTTACCGAGTTTTGGTCAAGAAAAGGCTGCAATTTGCAAATTTCTGTAGGTCATTCCTACAATATGCATCTACTCATTTGAGTCGCGCACCAACGCTCATACTACAAAAATTTCTGGCAGATTATTCATTCTCAACAACTTCAACACGATTATGTTCAAACCAAAAGCACTCAAATCGTTACAACATATTTGTTAAGATACTCTATATATATATTCATACTTCAGTAATTCTTAGACTGTAAATGGTAAAAGTAAATGAAATGGCATAAGTAGTTAAACCACACATATATATTATCCAAAGTTGGAAAGAAATTGCAGAGGTGAAACATTCATGATTCAAAGCTACAAGGTCGTGCGCAGTAGATGCAGTCTTCATTTAGGCATTTCGTCAAACACCACCTTCTGATCGGATTGGAGGGGCGTATTTCTTGCTCCCCATGGGAATTTTCGATGACCGAAGGTCTTCTGTGCAGGTTAGAGGGGCGTATTTCTCGCTTCTCATGGGAATTTCCGATGACCAAAGGTGCGGGCGCACCTCCTTGCGGTGCTCTGGCTTCGCCAATCGTTTCGGTCTTCATCTGGATATCAGGTTCGGAGTGTGTCGAAGATGCTTTTTTTGCCGTGAAAATTCTTCTGGAAATGTTAACAGAAATGAGAGCCAACACTGTTGCTGATGGCACGAAAAAGACGTCAGGAATGGCCTTGATCATTTTCAGCTGGGGCACTCTCTCCCCTGCTCTTTTAACAGCCATGGCTACTGGCGGCGTTACAACTCCTGTTATCACGGTAGCGTTATCGACCTTGCTTAGCCTTACATTGTCCTTCATGAATTGGATGAAGATGTCCCTCCTGTCTTGCACTTTGGCATTTTTCCAACTTACGAACATATCCTGCTAATAGTTAGTGTGTTAGAGAAGAGAAGCTTGGCAAGTGAAGACGCACTGTTAATTTGAACTGACCTCGATTTCCTTGCGCAACGGCACTTCGTAGTGTTTACCGGGCAGAGAAGAATTAAAAGTGCTGGGGAAGATTGTGTCAATGGCAAAGTATTAGATGCTTTGTGTGATGGTACATTTGATACAGAAACACATACAAGAAACTCGAAATTGTAAAAGGAACAGGCATATTTATAGCTTGATATTCTTTGTCCAAAATTTAGGAAATCTAATGAAATTTGGGTCATAATATTAATATTTTTGCAAGAATATGATTAAGGCTAATTAAAAAGAAAAAGACACTTAGTAGAGATTTAGGAAATCTAATGGCAAAGTATTAGATGCTATGTTTATAACAATATGCTTTAGGGTAAAACAGAGAAGTTTTCATTTTTCTCAAGTGCAATCATGTAAAAACTGGAAACCATTATGAGTGACTGAAATGGTTGCTTGTTTAGTTGTGAAAAAAGGCTAATTATGAGTGACTTTTGAAGTAATAGTGTTTAGGTGATTTGAGTTCAGTCTTGTATCTTATTATTCAAAATCACGTATTTTACTTCTCGCTGTACTCGTATAATAAGCTTACTTGAAGATATCGAGAATGGCGAACTGGAATTCCTCAAAATTTTGGATATCTTTCTTGATGAACTGATCGTACAGCGTTGCCATTAAAATGTTTAGCGTCCAGCCGGATGGCAGCCCTATAGACAGCTCAAGATCGTTAGAAGAATTGTATAAAATTATTCAACATAGTATCATCAACAAAAGAAAGAAAAAACTACTGCAAAAAGAATTTGAGAAATGAAAACAAACACGAAACTAAAAACTCCGAATGCAAACTCTATAACATGAAAAAGAAAAAGAACCAACCTCCTCCCAATCCCATGAAACTCATAGACAGTCCCATTCTTTAGAATCCCGGTACCAGCAGGTCCAAAACAATGTGTGTGTGTGTGTGTGTATGTATTGAGAGAGAGAGAGAGAGAGAGAGAGGACAGAGCGGTTTGAGGGCTTAGTGAATGTCCAGTTTAGTAGGTGCAAGCAAGGCATCTGATCTTAGGCTTTCCAATTTTCATCCTCATTTGAAATCTGCTTCTTAGCTTGGAAGTTTGGACAATTGCTACCTTAGGACAGGCAACTGAAGTTGTTCCCTATCTTATAGTTGCCTAAATATTCCTTCTTTCTTGCTTAATAAGCGAGCTGTTTGGTGAATGAGTTTACAAAAAAGTTATGGAAGTCGCGGCTAAAATGGAGGTGTCTTTGCTCGCCATTGTATGCTTTCCTGTATAACTTGATAAACAACCAATCTCCTTATTTGCTTTATTCTTCCTCATCAACCTCTTAATTTCCTCCACATCACTCCACCTTCTCCTTCTGGCATACAAATTTCTAATCATTACACAGTTTCCATCATTCCCTGGCTCCAGCTTGGCCACCTTCTTCAAAACTTCGTTCGCTCTTGTGACATCCCCATAATGGCCGCACGCAAAAAGAAAAGAACTCAAAATTATTCCGTCAGCATCATAAGGCATGGCTTCGATCAATTTCTCAACTTCTTCCAAGCATCCCGCCCTTCCCAACAGATCTACCATGCAACCATAATGCTCAATCTGTGGGATGAGCCCGAAGCCCTCCATTGCTTTAAACCACCTTTTCCCTTCCTCTACCAGACCACAGTAAACGTAATATTATTTGGCATAAAAATCTCTTTCTGCATATCCAAAAATATCTCCAGTGCCTCCTCGCCATGGCCATCGACTGCAAAGCCATTTATCAGAGCATTCCAGGAAGCTGTTTCTTTTTCAGGCATCTCATCAAAAAGTCTCTTGGCCTTTCTAATTTCACCACATTTTGCGTACATGTCAACAAGCGCAGTGCCAACATTAGTTATCCTATCAAGCTTCTTCCTCCATACGACCTTGTCAACCCAACAACACTAAATCCAAGGCTCCCAAATGTGCAATAGCTGGAAGAATGCTCACAACAGTCGCACCATCCAATTCGAGCGATGTAGTTGACTGCATTTCCTGAAATAACTTCAAGGCTTCATGGGGTTGGTTGTTTTGACTATAACCTCCAATCATCGCATTCCAAGAAAAAAGATTCTTCTTAGGCATGGCATTAAAGAGTGATCTAGCGGAATGTATGTCACCATGATGGGAGTAACCAGAAATCATACTGGTCCAAGACACCACATTCCTATCCGCCATCTCATTAAACAAACTGCGAGCCGAGCCCATATCTCCCAGTTTGACATAACGATCAATCATCGCGTTAAATGCAGCTGAGTCCTTGTCAGGCATTTGATCAAAAAGCCTTCTTGCACTACCCACGTCTCCAGACCTTGCATACCCACAAATAAGAGCTGTCCACGACACTCGACTCGTGTGCGTCATTTCATCAAACACCTTCCTTGCACAAATCATCCTCCCAAATTTTGCATACAGAGACCTTAAAATTTTGAGAAATTAAAAAGATGTTTATGATTAATGATGTATTATTCATTTGAGATGTTTATGTATCTTGGTTTAGATGTAAACTAATTTCATTCGAATTAATGAAAGTTTACAATTCCACAATTTTGTGTTTTCATGCATTGTTCAAGAGGACAGCATACTATCTTTAGCACTTCGTCATCATATTTTCATTTATATACTGATTAATGATGTATTAATCATTTCAGAGATTACGTATTCTGGCTTAATATTTGTTAACTGATTCTTCATTCAAATTAATGAAGTTTCAACTGAGTGGAGGTCTATGGTAACCATGTTACATGTCATCTTCCAATGATGTTTTTGATGGAAAGGGGTCCCCTGATCATACAAGACATGGCAAATTATGTATGTGAGACGAATAATGTGAGAAATTTATTTTTGATAGGGTCAAGTTCGTTGTAGAAGTTGAATTGAACGGAGAATACTAACAAAAAAAATGGAAAAATACTGAACATGAAAAATAGTTAGTCCGGTGCTCTCATTTAAATTCAATACATAAGTGGGCGATTCTGCGACCAAATCTTCCTTCTTTGCAACTCCATTAACATAGAGCCATCCATTACTAACCAGCAAAGAGTTAGAGGAAACGTGTCGTAAAATTTACATATGGTAAATAAGAGGTGTGTGAACTGTTAATAGTATATACTTGCGTTTCAAGTATCCAGTTTGCTACCGAAAAATCAACGAAGTAAGGGACTTGAGCAAATGTTAAACCGTTGTTTTCACTTGGCTTAGTTATATGTCTATACCACACGAAGTTGTGAACCTGTGTTGGATCCCGGAATGTCTCAATATCATACATAGCAGGACTTCAAATGTAATAAGAGGCCTGGAATTTATTTGAGGTAACCACAATGATAATCGAAAGTAGAAGTATACAAACGTAAGTATTAATCATGACAATAAACAATATGGACAATTCTTGGATCAAAAGGGGAAGAATATATATTTTGATTACTCTAATTGCTTGTTTATTAATCCGCAATCGAGATGGGAGGGAAAAAATAGAGTTGCAAATTTGGACATGTTAAATTCTATTTTTTGGGATTTGGGAGGGTAATTTGGGTCATTGGCCCATAGAACTTATTCAACCGGTTCGGCTTTTGGTGCAAACCAAATTCTTCCAAGTTGCCCACACTGCCAACAGCGAATTCTTCCCCGTTTTATTCGGGATTTAATTTGGAAAAATTAGGGTTTGGCCGCGCAAGATTTAAAGTGGAAAGTCGATGGCAGCAGCAATGCCAATTAGTTGCAACGGTATACTTTTATTTCTCAAATTCAAAATTCAATTTCTATTTTTCTTTCATTTTTTTTTTTTTTACATTTTTTTTATAATAAAAATAGAAATAAAAACCGAAAAGGAGAAAGCTTGCGGACCACGTCTCCTAGTCCTAGTAGAATTAAGAATTCAGCCGTGAAACCCTAATACTATATATATGTGATATAGAAACCCTCAAAATTACATTCTCTCAGTTTCCAGTTTCTTCTTCCTTCTCTTGATTCGACCTCTATTTCGCATTGTCTTCTCCTTCTTCAATTGCTTTGCGTTCTCCGCATTCTGTGTGTCATTCGTTCTTTGATTTCGTTGCATTAATTCTCCGCGTTGTTTGAATCGATGGCTTCCAATTCCAACCACAAAAGCATAATACCACCGAAAGTCAAGTGTGCCTTTAAACCCAGCAATCCTCGTGTGCGTGGTTCCAAGAAATTTAAGCGTTTCCGCTTCAGAAACCTCCCACAAGAAGAATCTCAACACTTTTCTTCTTCTTCTGGTTCTGAAATTAAGCGTTACGATGACCCCTTTGAGTATGAGGCATACAGTCCACAAAGTGTTGGTTGTGCTTGTTCTCCTGATCATTCAGCTTATGTAACTTGCGAGCCAGAAAGTTGTGAACTTGATGATGATGCTGGTTCATATCTCCCAGAACCACAGCAAGGATATGAGCAGGACAAAAGCTGTCACGATCACGATTGCGAAAGCTCTCAACTTGATGGCGATCATGATGAATTCTGTCATTTTGATGATGATTTAGGGGATGATGACTGTAAACCTGAATACCACGAAGTTATTTATCCAGAACCAGAAGAAGAAGATTATGGAGAACCTTACTTTCCAGAACCAGAACAAGAATATGATTACTTTTATGGTTCTCAAGTCAAGCCTTGCCGTAGTCGTTGTAATGCTGATGATGCCTCTGCTTCGGTCGACTCAATCTGCGATTCATCTTCTTCACATGAAAGTGAACTTGAATATAATAAGACTTATGATGACAAAGCTTCATTCTACTCTGTGAGTAGTCCGGTTCAGCCATTGTCTCCCCCAAGACCTGCAAAGTATTTCGACTGCAAGCTGTGTGTGAAGATGGCTAGAGAGCCGGTGGTGACTCAATGTGGTCATTTGTTTTGTGGGGATTGTTTGAACAAGTGGTTGTACTTCTTCACTTCTGAGATGCAGTGCCCTGTTTGTAGGAGTAAGGTGCTTGATTACTCCATCATTCAGATTAGCCCACCACCATGGTGGCAGCAGAGACCTTGAAATTATTGGAAAGTTAAGATGATGCTCAGGAGTAATGATGTATAATTCGTTTGAGATGTTTATGTATTTTGGCTTAGATGTAAACTGCTTATTCATTCAAATTAATGTAAGTTTACTTTTCCACAATTTTGTGTTTTCATGCTTTGTTCAACAAGACAACATATTTTTATATTTTGTGTGTTTGTTATGACATCGTTTTGTTAATTAATGTGTCCGAGTCTCTTGAATGGCTTATAAATCTGTTCCTTTGCAATGAAATTCTGGTTACCGCCCTTTACATTTCCTGCCTCTTTTGGCTGTGTGTTTTTCTTCAGTTTGCAATCTCTCTGCAGAGTTCTCTGAATTTGATTTTGATAATGATCCTCAAACAGAAACTTCATCCTTCTTCGAGATAACCGCTATGGTTAAAATAAAAGATCTGTTAGACAAAGGGTTCAAAGTGGTTGAAGTATTTACGATACATAATTCAGGAATGAGAAATGCAAGTGTGCAACTGGAAAATGCACTATGAAGTTGGTACAGGTTACATGAATTTTCTTTTACTCCATGTCATAGTCACTGTTTCGTTTCAAGACTGAAAGGTCAGACACTTGAAGGTTGCACGTTTCAGTGTTCAACTTACGGAGCTACAATAGTATATTGGCATAAACGAAAGTAGTCTGCAATGAAAATGATGTAGAGTTAGTGACTTACAAACTGCATGGGATTGATCAAATTGATAGTTGTATTCAAACTCCAAGGGATCCATGTGTGCCATTGACTGCCTCTTTCAGCCAGTTTATCTCTTTTAAATATGTTAGGAAATTCAATAGGGTTGCTCATGAAGTAGCAGCTTTTGCTACTGAGTTTGTGTTCCCTCTTCATAGCTCGAATACTATTATATGTTCGTTTGGAACTTTGTTTATCCGATTACAGAATAAAAGATTGTTATGAGCCTCAATTTTTAATCTGTGCATGATCATTACTTGGTTTTAACAAGTTCTTGATCAACACGATCA